CCACTGAGCTCTCTTTCTTCTAATCTTTTCATTGATCAGAAGGGATGCATCTCTTCTAAAGCTTAGAAAGGTTTCCCATTTTCTTTCAACATCATCTATCGGTTCACCCCGCTGCTTAGCATGTCTGCGTTTCCTAGAGGCTTCCTGACGTTTTGCTATGGCTCTCTTAACTTCCTCTTCCCACCAACTTTCAGGAAAAAGACGCAGCAGCGCAGCCTATTGGTTTCCGTGAAAACGGCCTCACCGAGAGTATCAGCCTCGTCCCACTACCCCTATCTAGTTCACTGTACCGCTAGGGTCTAGCGCGTCAGTGGGCACTTGTTTGCCGCTCTTTCAAATAACGAGTGCGATATGTTTAACGCAGATGCTAGACCTCTGTTTGCCTAAATTTTAAACTGAGTCAGCAAAAAAAGAGCAAGTACTTTTGTCTTGAAAGCTTGAAGAGGTGAGATTTTTGGAACAAGCCTATCACGGAGGAAGTTTTTGAAACTGCGCGTGGCGTGGCAACTCACAGAGAACGGAATGCGGCCCTGCACAGCCGATGCTGGGCTCACAAAAGAAGAGAGAAAAAAGATTGGAACACTGAGAGATCAACAAATGAAAGAATATCAAACCATCTTAATTAACCAAGGACACTCTTCAAAAGCTGTATGTGCGAACACAAACCTATGCTTCTAGGTCATTTGGCCGAGCTTTTTGTTAATATTTTGCTCTCTGTCCAAATGCAAATGCATGATAGCACAGACGAAATGATACCCATGCTTGTTTCTTCCTTGTGACCGTCGTTTAGAATATCATTAGAGCAGAGGAAGTTTTTCTTCGCGGGAGCCTCAGTGTTACTAAATAATGCATTTTATTTGTAGCTCCGAGACAATGGAGCGCGTCTGTTGGCATAAATCAGGGGGGCTGGGCAGCGACATTCATAAATGTATTCTGAAAGTACAAATATGAGAATACAGGTGCTCAAGCCCAAAAATACAAGTACTGAGAAATATTTATAGAAGACATAACGAGATATTCTGAAGACAATTTTGCAAGAAAATGCGCTGAGGATAATTAAAACGAAATTAAGTCAGCCGTATCACTCAGCTCAGTAACAAACACCACTGATGGGAGGTAAAGTATACTCTTATTCATTTATTACACACAAGATAGGAATGCTTACACAAGCTACACCAAAGTAAGAGCAGCTTATAAAATAGACACTCAGTAAACAGAGCGCAGGTTCAGTTTCTATTCAAGACTAGCGATATAGAAAAGACTATATTCTTGTAAGAAAACACGACTGTGTGTTTATAGCTACTTAATATCAAAATTGTGTCCCCCCCCCCCAAAAAAAATTGATTGTGTTTCACCGGCCTTGAGAAAGATCCAAGAACGTCAGCACTGCCTCCACGATTCTGCCGTCCACATAGAACTTTCTGTGCGTGTGGGGGGTTCTTCGCTGATCTTTATGTGTCGCCGACTGGCGGGGCGCTTTTGACTAGCTAAGCGCATACAGGCTTTGCTCTCGATATTAGATACACATCGGCTCCCTTGCGACAAAAGAATAGTGAGATCACCATGTCTTTGCAGGATCGATACATTCAATACAAAGGAAAAGTATTTCACTACTGAGATCCAAGTACATTTTTAAAATGCATCTCGATACAGGAACTCAGGGTATATCTGAGATACTACTGAATCACGATACTGCCCAGCCCTGTGCTACAAATCTTGTGAGGGGTACAAACGACCACCCAGTCATTCAGTGCGGTCAAACGGCAGCAGTTTCACTCTGTTATACCATGTTTTACGACATTGCGCAAAAGAATAATTCTTCCTCCGAGGTTTTCGTATCTAACTCAGCGTTACCACCACCAAAAATACCACGCACAAGCAACTACAATCTTCAGTGCCTGCTGTCAAACGCACGTTGCTGAGCTGAGGCTTCAGGAGAAAGGCACAGTTGCGCCACCACACCGCGCACGAAGATTTCCTTGTGTTTCGCCTCGCCGCCGTTCCTTGCTTTCGCTCTACGCTCGTCCCACTACCCCTATCTAGATAGGGGTAGCGGGACGAGGCTGATCCTCTCGGTGAGGCTGTTTTCACGGAAACCACTAGGCAGCGCTGCTGCGCCTTTCTCCTATTCTAAATGGATATCAAGGGAGCGTACATTAGCGTGGTTCAAGAGGAATTGTGGGGAATACTGGACACACTAGATGTGGAACATGTAGTCACTAATCTTTTAAAGGGTATCTATAAAGGTAACAAGGTAGTTATAAAGTGGGAAGAACAGGTATCCGAGCCTGCAGAGGTAAAACGGGGGCTTAGGCAGGGGTGCCCCCTGTCACCCTTATTATTCATGATGTACCTACAAGGATTAGAGGCAAAATTAGAGGAAAGTGGGCTGGGCTTCAACCTCTCTTTAGTGAAACATGGAAAACTTATTGATCAGGCACTACCAGCATTAATGTACGCAGATGATATAGTGCTAATAGCCAACAACAAGGAAGATTTGCAGAGATTGATGGACATCTGCGGTAATGAGGGAGATAGGTTAGATTTTAGATTCAGTAAAAAAAATCAGCAGTCATGATTTTCAATGATAACGAAGGTAGTTAGCTTAGAATACAGGAGGTCACGCTAGAGATAACAGATAAATACAAATATCTGGGCGTATGGATAAGCAATGGGACCGATTATCTGAGGGAACACGAAATATACGTGACGACTAAAGGTAACAGGAATGCAGCAGTCATGAAAAATAGGGTACTGTGGAATTACAATAGGTATGATGTTGTGAGAGGAATATGGAAAGGGGTCATAGTTCCTGGGCTGACGTTCGGCAATGCGGTCTTGTGCATGAGATCAGAAGTTCAAGCAAGATTAGAAATTAAGCAACGTGGAATAGGTAGGCTTGCTTTAGGAGCTCACGGGAATACACCAAATCAGGGAGTACAAAGTGATATGGGATGGACATCATTTGAGGGCAGGCAAGCTAGCAGCAAGATAAAATTTGAGAAGCGATTGAGAGAAATGGGGGAAGAGCGTTGGGCTAGGAAGGTTTTCAGCTACTTGTACATGAAGAATGTCGATACAAAATGGAGGAAGCGAACCAGGAAGTTGACTGGTAAATACTTAGAAAACAGCAGTTGGCCAAACCAAAAAGAACTATCGGTTAAGAAGAAAGTGAAGGAAACGGAGACTGACATGTGGAGAATGGGCATGATTAAGAAGTGCGCACTAGAGATCTATCGAACTTTTAAGCAGGAAATTGCCAAGGAAAGGATCTATGATAACACTCGGGGTAGTTCTCTACTGTTTGAGGCCAGGACGGGAGTACTGCGAACCAAGACATATCGGGCCAAATACGAAGGGGTAGACACAGTATGCAGTGCGTGTGGAGAGGAAGAAGAAACTACCGAACACTTGATAATGTTCTGTAAAGGTCTTCACCCTATAGTTCAGGTTGATGGCGCAGAGTTTTTCAAAGCACTGGGGTGGGAGGGCAAAATAGACTTTAAGCGGGTAGACCTAACTAGAAGGAGGTTATCTGATTGGTGGCTAAAGTCAAGGCACGAGTGAAAATTAAACCCTTCACTGCAAAGTACGAATTCTCAAACTCACTTTTTAAAGAAAAATATAAATCTAATTTTTGGGTCTTTAAGTATAACGGCTTGGTGGCGATCGCCACCGCCCGTACTAAAAGGTACATCCATATCTGTCCATCCATCTATCCTGAAGCGCGCCGTTAGATCTAGATCACTGTAAGATAGCACTTTCTGCACGCGGCGCGCAGCTCTTTCAGTACTATTCGACTGCAGCGCTGCCGCTGTGGGCAACGCAGAAGGGATCAGGCAGCGAGGCGTGGTGACGCCACTCAACATTTCTAGTACACTCTAACTTTGCTCAGGCCCCAGATGGCACCGAAACACTGTTGTTATACCTCTTTAAAATATATGTTATTGCTTGGAACATTTTCAGGCTATAGGGAAAACGGGCAATATGTATTTCAACCACCTTTTTCCTTCCTCCGTGGTTTCAACAATTTCCTAAAGTGACGGAACATCTGTACATCTGTGTAGTTGCTCGACGTACTTCGTTACAGTAAGTAATTTGCACAACGAAAGTGCTGCTGTTTGTATCTTTATTTAACGTTGTTTCGATATATTTATGGCAGTTTTAATATTACATATTCATTGTTTAAACATAGAATAAAATGTATGATTCCGGTAATAATTTTCTTTCAAATGTCTGAGTTGAAAACAAGCTTGACGCATGGCAAACTTTTTTGCTGTATGCTAGGTCTAAAACGAAATAAGTTAAAAGATATTGCGGTGGGACGGCTGTGTTCTCACCTAGCCGTTCTCTGTTTTTTTTTAAATAGTAGTCAGGGCTAACAAGTTATAGAACATGTGTGTGTGGCTGCAAGCCACCGGTGAATGTGACTAAAAAGCCCGTAACTCTGAGCCAAGCGGTCACTGCACGCTAGTTAAATAAAGAAAAAAAAAGTCACTGCACGCTAGTATTTTAGCTTGCTGAAGAAGTAATTTACGTTATTCATTACTCGTATTTCTTGCATGTATGATATGTTATTACTCACTCGCTCTTGCAACGCAGGTTGTTTTCGTTCTTTTATTTTATGTTATGTTTTTTTGCGCACGCACAGCTACCAAATTAGCGTACTCGAACTCTAGCACCAGAACATGGCCCCGTTGATGCCTATTCAAAAATCACTTCTTGCGTTTCCTTGTTGCCCCATCCACTAACGCAGCTTTTAACGATGGGCGAGCTTTACTCCACACCTCATCATTTAGGTTGAGCATACTTCAAGTGGCCTGCGTGCAAATACAGCGCAACAACTACCGCGCGTAGCAGACGCCCCTCACTTTCCACGCGCGAAAAGCCCACGGGTGCCACGGGTATGGCGCAGCAGCGGCGCGGCGCGGAAGCTCACCGCAAAGCGTCCACGCGGGAGCCGGCGCTTTGGACATTCTTCATACTTTAGGTCACTCTAATGCAGGTGGCTGCATATAAAACTGTGGCGGGACCTTGGAGTGAGCTGGTGGGCAATACTGATAGTGCTCCAGGATTCTGGAAACTGCGAACATATGGAAACGGTAAGCTTCATTTTATGCCACAATATGGTGGTACGTGGCACGTGCCGTACTTGTTTCGCTCTAGTTTTCATCTCTTGTATGTTCCTTGTGCACACCTTTACTGTTGATGTCATTACTATTCACTTTAACAGTGCAACTGCGAATAGTAGGTACGTGTATCATTACTGTAATTGTTATGCATGGTCTGTAATTATGCCAAGGAGAGTGTATGTATGACCATTCATTGCGATGTCCGTACGCGTGCACTGCTGTTGCTGCCTGGTGGGGTCGGCCCCCTCGTCCTGACTGCGGCTTGGGCGCGATGTAAATAAACCTTGACTGGATTGCGATCTGCTTTTGTTTGTATTTGTTTGAGCGCTTTCATTTACGCGTTCCTCAGCTATTTGGAGTTGGTGTCTAGTCAGTGTCAGTATGCGACTTTCCTTGTTGGGCCACTTGACCACATGTTGTCGTTCTGCAGTTATTGAAGCAGAAGTCACTGAACGAATGTGGTTGAAACCATAGGCGTGCGTAGGTTCCCGTTCAGGGGGGGGGGGGGGGCGAAGGTTCATCGCATCGCCCCCCCCCCCCTATCATGTCAATGTATGGGCCGGACAGATTTTGCGCCTCCCCTCTTAGGTGACAAAGAAGGGCCCCGCCCTCTAGTCAATGTATGAAGCAGATTTTGCCCCCCCCCCCCCCCCCCCCCGCCCTCTCTGGCCCATCGTCCGCACGCTTATGGTTGAAACAACTGCAGTATGCACTCAATGGGACGGTCCACTGTCTGAGAGAACGTGCGAGTGTGCGCAGCTGGCGCTTGCCGCTGTGAATTCGTCGCCACTTCTCAACAATAAAAATAAGATAATAATCTGGTAATCAGCAGGCAGAAAAAATGGTGTGCTATCCCAGCTGGAAAACATTTCCAGTCCCGGCCGGATTATAAGACAGGAAATAGTTTCCAGCCAGATTTTTTCTGGTCGGAAATGGAAGCCATTCTGGCCGGGAATAGAAATCCTTTCAGCTAGAAAGGAGAGCGGTTCTTGCTGGAGATAGAAGTCGTTCCAGCCGGAAACTTGAAATTTTCCTGCAGGAATTCGCAGTCGTTCTGGCAAGAAATTGGGGTCACTATAAATCAAAAAGCATCATGTTCCCAAGGAAAAAGTGCCTTTTCTGATGCAATAAGGAGGCTATGTTTTAGCAAAATATTTATCGCCTTCAATATTGTTCTTTTGTAGGCTTCATATTCTCTTCTTTATACTTTTTGTAGCACATTGGCAGCCACAGTCACATCTCGGTGCTTGGTCTTGCTCCACTAGGCCAGGTATTCTTTAGAAAAAAAAAAGTGAGAGATGGAATGCCAAATAAACAAAAACAAAATAAAAATTCACCACATTCGCTCAAGAAATTAAGCAACTCAACCAGGGGCATAGGCGAATTATTTTCGATGGGAGGGAGAGTACCTCCTTAATCTGTAGGAGAGGCCGAACCAGACAATGTGGTTGAGGGTTATATGGTGCCCTGTATGCCACGGCAAAAAAATATGGAGGGGGGGGGGGGGGCATCACCCCCTGGGTATGCCACTTATGCTCACTGTTTCCAACTTTATTTTTTGGGGGTATGAGACGATTATTTATATCGAGCTTAGAGGCCAACTCCGGCGGTTTTTTGACCATGTCAAGGTGTTATGGTGTTTCTATGTTCCTGAGACACCTTGTCACGAGCTCAATCGCTGAAATGCTCAGGAAATTTGAAAATAACTTTTAATAAGCAAGCATGTGCAATACCGAAACCCAACCGAGCGCCCTGTCTGCGTATGATGTACCATTTGGTAGAGCCGGAGCCCGTATACTGATTCCGCCGGCACAAAGTATGTAAACTGTGAAAGCCAGTCCAGCGAAGCACCAGCCAAACACCACAGAGGAAGAAAAAAAAAAAAACATTCCCATACTATAGCCGTGCCAAACCCCACCGCCGTCGCCTTGTGGAAAGCACAATAAACGCTGTAGTGGACAAAGGAGCGATGTCATCGGCTGTGTCAATTTCGTTGACATGCTAAACATGACGTCACACAGACAGTGTTGCCAATAATTCTGGCAAGCGAGGTGAGGTTTCCGAGGCAATCTTTAAAATTCATTTTCAAATGATCAGTGCATCACTCAAACCTGTGATTTGGCATAAAGGACTAAAATGTGCGAAGCAACATACCCAGCGAAGTTCATTGAAGTTCATTGGCCTCGAAAAATCGCCGAAGTGTGGCTTTAAACTTCTTCGAAGAGGCATCAAATGGATTAACTCGAACATATGTTACTAGTGACGCTTGTTGCATAGAGGCATGCACATCATAAACAAACCGATCACTTATATATAATTGCATACAGGCAGGTAGCATGACAGCATGATTAATGAAGCCCATGAACATTCGGGCCAAACGTTCACTTGTACTTGGAATATATAAGTGGAACACTTACCTCTAATTTGAAGAATAAGAGTCAAGAAAATCATTGTCTCTTAGTCGGCGCTCATGTGACCAATACATCGTACACAGTACGGCAATAAAAACCACTGGAACATGCTGGGCATCACTTACAACAGAGATAAAGTTGAATAAACTATAGCTGTTTCATGTAACATTCACATAGGGACACCTCAAAAAAATGACTAGCAAGCACCGAACGCACAGATGCACAGATCGTGCTACGACTAGCCGCCATGTGCTGTATGAAAATGCGGCGTCTTAATCATATATTCGGTAAATTGAACCACTGCATTTGATCATTTTTCTATTAAAATTTTAAAAATACAATTTTTTCATGTAATATTTATAATATAATGTAGGTTATTGTTTTTCAGTAATGTCAGAAAGCACCGAGAAATGATGCGGGAATAGTGCTAGGGAAATGTCAACAAAAATTGGCAGTGTGGTGTTGTTCATGGCCGCTGTGGCCACTGCATCAGCGAGAGCAAACTAGTACATGAAGTGCTAGTCGATCGTGGCTATGAATGGTGAACCTTGAAAGTGAAGCTCTTTTTCACAAGGAATTCCCTGCTATATTTTTGTTTAAAACATTAGCTGTTGGTGCAACGGCTGAATGAGCAATTGAGCAAGCAAGTGGTTGGATGTCTGCAGTTGTAGCATTAGTAAAACCGTGTTGATGGGCGCACATCTCTGGAGTACCGTAAAGGTAAAATAAAAGTACATTTTACCCTTGGCTTAACTTTTTTTCTAGGCAAACCCAGCATTATAGGGCACTCAAGATCAAGACCACATTTGCGAAATGTGACTATCGGCTGTGTGATGGAATATTTTAAGTCATCTTTAGGTTAATGTGCTCTCAGTTGTAGAGCAATTTTTTTGTAGCTGGATCATTTTTGTCAACTTTATCACTGACTCTGCACAAACAGTATAACTTCTTGCTGAGCAAATTATTTCCCAACTGAAGCTGGAAAATTTTCCCACTGGAGATATAACTTCTCATGGAGAGTGGAAAACTTCTAGCTGGAAATGGCTTTCCAGCTGGGAATCATTTCCATTTCCAGCCTGGAAATACCATTCCCTGCTGGGAATAGAACACATTCACAGCTGGAAATGCTGTTTCCAGCAAGAAATGGAAAATTCCCAGCCTGACGAGCCATTTCCTGCCAGAAACCTGGCTGGAAACTCCATTTCCAGCAGGAAAATCACAACCCATTGTCATGTGGGATGTTTGTTGTTGTGCGATGCGATTCCCTGCCATAGCAGCTGAGCTTCGATTTGGACAAAATGCAATGTGTTTTTCTCGGAAGTTGCTCGCACAGAACAGAACACACTTGGATGTGGTGGTGGGAGATCCGTTTATTCCGACTCAGGATTGCAGCTCCAATTGTGGAATAGCACCCGAGTTGGCCTGTTCCGCTCAAACCAGCCGGCTGCTTTTGATAAGAGACAAAGGAATCGATGCCCAATGTGGCAAGCATAGCGAGCCTGTCCTTCCGACCGCAGAAAAATAGATTGTCGCTAGCGTGCGCCGAGCGCTGAAATAGCTGGCAGAAAACGTAGGGCATAAAAAACCGGCCTTGCGATTCTACTTCACATTTCCAAATATCGCCGGCAGTTGGTGAACCGTGTGCTCGCGTGACCCCTACTATCTAGAGGATGGTGCTTTACATGCATGCGTTGTGTGTTGGCCACCTCTTGCATGCGCGGTAAGCTTTATTCCTGCGCTGCTCACATTCCGTTCTTGGGAGTTTTCATACCACCTGTGTACGCTCGTGTGCTCTTCCCCACTGAGCTGGGAAGCACTCGCACTGCAGAGGTACTCGCGCACACCTCAACTGCACTGACATGTAGTCAAGCTCCAAGTGCCATCTCCAAGTATTATCCAAGTGCCATGTAATGCTTGTGTCTCTAAGCAGTTTTGGAAAAATGTAGGCCGTCCTTGCACGTTGGCTTGAAGTAGTAGCATATTTTTGAATTCACTGTGCAGCTGACCACAGGCCAGCCTCCAACAATGACACCTTCTTATGAGCTTATGACTGGAGACCAGGTGGAAGAACTGAAGAGGCCTCCAGCTGAATCTAAGCAGCTGGTCAGCTCTTTGCTGACATAGGGCAACCACTGAAGGTGAATGCTTCCTCATTTGTGGAGAAAATATCCTTCGATCCGTGCTAAGGTCGTCAGATTGATTGCCTTTTCACAATGAGCATTGAGTGGGTGAATTTGTTCAGGTCAATTTTTAAACAAGTTTTCTTTGTTAACTCATCTCGTAGTGCAAAAGAAAAAAAACATTGGAAACAGGACAAGCGAGCGGACGAAGGGATCGTGCGTGCAATATATATATATATATTTATTTTTTGCATTACGTAATCAGTTATGCATTACCAATACCCCCGTCCAACTTCATACTCTTGTTTCTTCGGCAACTCTGTTCAAGTGGACCCTTCCAGCAATAACTGGCCCAGGTGAACAGTTGTTTTTAATTTATTTGAGCATACTGTTGACCCACATTTGTGAATCATTATAGGGAAGGAGTACATAAAAGTAA